GTACTGCACTGGCTAAATTGCTCATCTACAGCGTGTGACTCGTCGCAACATTAATGGCAGACCAACTACACGCTGTATAAATATCCAAACAACCCAATTATTATTATTTCAAAAAATTGAACCTTCAAACAAAAACGCTGCCTACGTTCACTTTGATTTTTTTTTAAATATGTCTTTCTTTGTAAATAGAGTTCGGTAATGAAAACAATTCTTTGATATTCCCTTGCCCTGGTTGTGGAACTCTCCAACCTACGAACCTAAAAAAGTTTGTTGGTGACCGCAACATTTGTTGGGCCTTCAAGTGTATGTTTAGGCATTCTTGCAACTTACACTGACCATACGAGATTTCCACCGGGGACCTGGAGAGATATCTAAACAGCAGAAATCTCTGAATATTGTACCTTTGTGCTTTGTTTTAGTCACTGTAATAATGCTGAATTCAATCCGATGACTACTTAGAAACCAGACCCATTACAAGTACTCCCACAACAATTTTAATAAACTAATAAAACAAGTATATTGCGATTGTGTGAAATGAATGCTGGCAAATATCGCTACAGAACAAAGAACATACACAATATAGTTGGTATCTTAGACTGCCTGATTGACGTGCAGGCTTGCCTGACAGTGATGTCACACCACTGGTGTTGAAAAGTTTTCTCAGCGGCTACTTAGATTTAAAGAAAGAAAATAGCATAAAAGGAAGAGGGAAGCACATATATTCAGGAAATGTAGTTAGTGTGGGTGGTTAAAAGAAACTACAGACTACCCCTTTAAAGCAACGTGGCCTTCTTTCTGGAGGTAGCAACTTTTTCTGAAACACTAAGATTCGCACATGTGTCCTCAGCAAAGAAGTGAATGCGCAAAACGACATATGACGGAAGGAGCTCAACAGTAAACACATCACTGTGGTCATTGCACACTAGCCTTGCGATTGCGCAACCTTCTAGGGCGTCGAGGAGGTTTCACATCATGTCCCCACAAAGGTCGTCAGCCGTCAGTGCGGAAGCAATCTTGCCCTCGACACTCTTGAACATTGCGAACATTCTGCGCGATGGGTGTTTTAGGCTTCCTTCCTTGAATTCCCTCGCGAGCGTGAGGTAGGCCTCTGAACATTCGTTTGACCCTCCCTGAATGTCATCCATGCAGGGCTCACACATTGTGTGCTTGCCAATTGACCGCACTAAGTAGCCACACTGGTAATAAATAACACAATCTTGAGCCGATGTGTCAGTGTAAACATGATCGTGCATGTGGTCATGGCGTGGTGTTTGATGGGCAGAAATACAAATCTGCAAGACCTTACTTCGAAGGCAAGCTTCGAGCCTTTCATGCCCTGTTTTAACTTCTTTTTTCTTGGCTCTCATTGTTTGATTCACAGTCGCCAGAACAGTTGTTGGCTCTCCCATGACGTTCCCAGTCACACAGGCTTTGATGGGCGCGGAGAGGCTCAAGAGGCGATAGATATGCGAGAAGCTCACAACAGTTGGGTGGTCTTCATCACGCCCGAAGCTCCTGACCACCCCAAAGAAGCGCTAGAAAGAACAAAATTAGAATATTACTTCCGTTTAAACCAATTTCGATATAAGAAAGGGTTGCGTGAGAATGCGACATGTTGATTCATGCGAATGGATTGCCTCTAGGGGATGTTGGTTTAGTTTTCCTCCGAGCACATAGTCTGCTCCGGAGTTGAGGATGTCCGACGTCAGGTCTCTAACAGAAGCAAGGGTGACGCGTGTAAGCTTTGATGCGAACATGACGGTTCCCCTGGAGATACTGTTTTGCTCCGTGAGGTTTACCAGATCCAAAACGTCTGTGATAATCTGCAAGAAATAATGTATGCTTCTAGAGCACTCACTGAGTGTAAAAAATAACCCAAAAAGTAAGGTTTCATGCCTAAAATGGGTTATCTTACCCTGATTTCCTCTAAATCTCTTTTTATTCCATGTCGAGGTAGCTTGACTTTTAGTGCATCAAACAGGTTGTTTATGAAAACAGTGAACTGAACTGTGCCCTCACAGTCCTCCAGGCCGGGGCACTTCAGTCGGTTGTAGACCCTCACACCCACAGCGGTGCTGCGACTGAAAAGCTGGAAGTAGAAAACAGTTTTCCTTAGAACGCTGTAGTCTTTTGTGGCATTTGTAAAAAGCTTAATGATCTAACAATTACCCGGACAGCCAACCTCACACTAATCTTTCTTAGGTTATCGGGGTGTACACGTTCTTCAGTCAGTTTCGGCACCACTCGAATCTGCTCCTCGCAAAGCCTTGTAGAGGAGCCTGTAGTGGTCGAAGTTTATCTTGTGTTGCCCGATCTGGAAGATTACAAACTACAATGCGAACAAATTAACTCAATGAATCCCCTGAAAATGAATAAACCTTTGAAAAGGAAACAGAGTTAAGCTGCATTCAACTCACCATGCCGTATTTGTGACGAAAGAGATGATTCCGGACGCATTTAATGATGTGAGGGACATCGCACAAGAAGTATAGGCTCGGGTTAGGATCACACGGATGTTTCACCTTGTGCTTGGGGTCTTGCAGTTTTCCCGAGATACCGAAGCATGACCACATCGACTTGTTGGTGGTGGCACCATCACTTATGACAGCTACTACTATGGCTTTGTGCTTTCCCAGTTCCATGATCGCCTGGAGTACAAGGTTTGCAAGGACTACACAAGGTGTTGCATTCTTTGTGGCAAAACAAGCAGTGGGCTGTACCCAGATGTGGAAAAGTGGCACACACATTAGTTCCAAGGCATGGTCAGCGGCAGTTCCGGAACAGACGCCGTCTCTGTAATCAACGAGGCCATCAAGTTTTTAGGTGCCTAGATTTAAAGAAACGGCTCTCCGCACCTTCATCTCATCCAGAATCAGTGTGCCGAAGCACCGGTGCCCAGTTTTACCCACCAAGAAAGTTTCAATGCTGGATAAGACAACCTTGTTGAAGCCAAATTAGCAGGGGACCCTTTTAATGATTTGCCTTAGTCTCGATGTAGTCGGAAGAGGGAGCAGATTCATTGCAGTCATTAGCCTGTATGCCTTCGGACTCGAAATCCTCAAGAGGAGACAAGTCATCATCCACTCGGTTTCATACCGCCTCCCACGTGCGAATTTTGCTGAGGCAGCCCTTGACTCCTCTTCGAAAAGCAACTTGTTGTGAGCATGGCAACACAGAAATGGCAGCTTCGATCTTCTCGTCTGACATTACAGAAAGCTGGCGCTTTAGGTTCCGCATTTCCCCTCGTGCTTTTTCACGAAAAGCTGAAGCCCGGATGGCTTTCCTTCGGAAGTTTTTCACGAGTACACGAGGCTTCCTTTGAAAGGTTGTTGGTTTTGAAGAGTTTCTTTTTTCTCTTTCGCAGAGGACCTTTCGGGTGAGGCGGCACTCTCGGCATATAGTCAGTTCTGAAAGCACTAGGCACGCCTTTCTGTGCCACACATCCCCGTCCCGGACAGCTGTTTTTGAGGTTGAGATAGTTGGAATCTTTTCAGAGGGGCATCCAGCACAAACCTTGAGGGAGTCAACATAGCTTAATAACACTCTCAATTCTTCGAGAATTGTCAACCGCAGTTGAACATCCGTCGAACTTGGGCTCCTGTAGCTTGCCTCTGGTACCAGCTTTCCCCCTACACTGACAACTACAGGAAGGTCTTTTCTGAACGTGACCGCCCTCATCACCGAAACTGCGCCTTGATTCTCCACAAGCTTGAAGAAAATCGTGTGGCTGTCGGACGTCCCTTGAAGGGACCATCCTTCGACTGGCGATTGGGTTGCATCGATTCCGGAGAAGAAGTCGAAAACGTCGGTGGGCCTGCTCGCAAGGTTGACGCCATCGTCTACTGCCTCATCTGCAGTGGTCACTTCATGGGTCACACAACTGGCTCCAGTCCGAGCAACGCTGCGATCGGCGGGGGGCTTTCGTTTGACCCTCTTCGTCGTTGGTTTCAAAAGGTGCGCGGGGACATTCGGAGACAGACGTGGCACGGCACCTTTGGCCCCTGGGGATCAGAACCGTCTGCCCATTAATGACGTGCTAGTAGTGACGTTCAATGTCTTCCGGCTTGAAGTGCAAATCGCACACATAGCTTTTTGGTGTGAGCGTGAACTTTTTTTCGGGGGATCGCGTTCTGCCATACCTTCAGGCGCACAGCATCTTTCGGAGTGGTAAAAAAATGACGCTTTTCGTTACTTTTCGAAGCTTGTGAGGCGTATCCGCTGCGACAGCCGGGAGCGCAGCATGTCGGCATACTTGCTCATTGATTGATAAACACCGGAAAAAGACTAGAAGAGCCAACATCCAACTAAGACACGAGCACGACGAGCACACGAGCGAAGAAACAGGCATCAGCAGCGAGCGGTGCCGAACCGAGCGTAGATCGTACTGGGACTACAGCGCCCTCTCTTGTGCGCGCTACGAAATGGGACCGCGTCGGGGACACGACCTACCCTATTAGAGTTGGTCGTGGTCGGGGAAGCGAGTTTCGTAACAGCCGACCGAGCCCCTCTAGTAACGTTGCCTGATGGTATTGTAGAAGTGTTGAATACGGGCCATGGGACTGGTTTAGATGATGTGGTGTACATGGAAAGTTGGAGAAACCCGCAAAACTGGACTCGGAACGTGAATATTGATAGCAGATGTGAGATCTGGGCAATCAATTAATCCATGAATACATTTATACAAAAAGCATGTCCAGCTACGACTCACGACAAACATTCGAAATAATATAAAAAAGCGGAACATTTTTTTTATTACTGTGATAATATATATTACAATTTTATTTTGTGCACTTTGTAGAGTTTAGTGAATTTAATATCACAAAAAGTTGAAACACTCATTTAACGTGATCTGGCAACCACGATAAAGCTCCGAATCTTTCCAAACCGCTTGAGAGTCGTCTACTCTTCCGAATCTCCCGATTCGGGTCCCATCAAAACTGATCTTACACCAGCTACTACAGTCCTAGAGTCTCATTTTAGATTCAAATATTTGTTCCCGAAGGAACTGGGCCGATCCCTGCTGTACTGCGATACAGGGCCGACCCTGGCAGGTTCCGGGCAGGTTCCGGGCAAGCCCGGAGAACCCCACCTGGCTGCAAAAATTAAGTTAATATCGAGGAGCCATATAGGGCCCCTATCAGATATAAGAACATACGATCAAAGCCAGATAGGCCGAGAAGCGATGCCCAAAAACGATGTCTTTTTTGGAACCCACCTCAGACGCGAAATTGACATACTCGGTGGGGAGGTAAGTGAACAGGAAACCAACACGCCTCCAATAAAGGGTAAGGCCCTGACTTTTACAAGCATTTGTGTAGAATACGATGGTATTTTGATCTCTTACAGCGAAGTTGAAATGTAGAGAATCGCAGATTGAATATTGAAACAAAAGAAAGTCTGCAGGCGAGCTGGTCGAATAATCCTCCGGCACGTTCCCACCAAGGGGGTGCCGCCGTTCCGCTTCCAATGTTTTCGAAAGGGCATGACGTAATTCGTTTGAAGCCTAGTCATAAAAAATGAGAGGCCTGGCACAAGGGATGTGCCAACAATATTTTTTGTTTTGTTGCGAAGCGGCTAGACCAGCTGGGCGGCAAAACGAAAGTGTGTGGCGTCGCGCGTCGCCGTGATGAGGCTTTGCTTCGAGAGCGGCTGGACCGCTTGTTCTTCTGTGGGAAGCTTTGTTTCACCGGTAAAGCCCCTGTACATTACCTGGACATATCCTTGGCACATTCCGGCACTGCTTTTACCAACGAGCTTCCAGATGAATAGGACTAACATACTGAGCAAGCAGCAATCCCAGCATCCAAGCACTGGCCATGCCCGGTTTGTTGGGAACCAGAAATTGTAAACAGAATTCTCGCGCGATAATCTTTCATTAATTAGAGAAATGGAGGCATTCTCTCGCAGCCCTAGTCACACCATGTGCCCTTGTGACGAGGAACTGCTTTGGATACACAAACCGGAACAGTACAGTCAGACTTTTCAATGAGGACCTGCCAACAAAAACATGCAGTTACGTAATAAATTGGTTTGAGGCACTAGTCATCAGGTCCCTATTTGAATGTCATGCACATCTCTATAGTGTTAAGCGCCGTTCACATATATCCAACCGGGTAAGACCGAGAGAGACCAGACCGCTTTTTGAAGCCTCTTGCGACGTCTTATAGACCAGCTCCGCTGCAGCGCATTTAGTCCTATGACGTCGCAACAGAATTAAAGGGGCCCTCCGGAGCTTTCTGCGATCGTCTGTTTATGTCGTTATATTGCGTAGTAGGTGCAAGTTAATATGTATACAAAGTTTCAGATTACATAACCGTTTATTAAGCACATGGCAGAAGGAATATATCGGGACTATTTTCTCTTGGAAGACAATCCCCCATTCCCTGCCCATCGCTAAAACTTGACCAATGGAAATGCTGCATCTCGCGGTGAATGCGAACGTTATTATTGCAACACTTTTTAAGCTCGTTTTAAATTAGAGTTTGAGAAAAACGTAAACTGATTGTGGTGCGGTAAACATAGTCCGCAATTATCGCTCCAAAACCAGCGAACTATGTTTTCTCCCCGCAAGCTTGTTGCTAGGGGGTGATGCGTCGGCGCGTCGGCTCGTCTGCCTCCCGGGGCGTCTGCAGGCGTGCGTTTGCGGGACACGTGTTCCTTCTTCCCGTGGATCCCGACTCCGAAGCCAGCTTTGCGATCCTTCCACGTCAACGAGTCAAACGTTTCCTTGTCATCTGTGGAATGCGACTGCGTACTGCAGTAGCAGCGCGACGGTACGGTGCGACGAACGACGACTGCCAAGCACAAGTCCGGAGAGATTCCTCCGCGGGTCGGCGGTCGGCCGCGTTGGTGGCGCACAGTGACGCCGGAATCCTTCGCTTGCTATTGGCTGACGCGTAAAGAGATGCCCCTCTTGTTTTCCGGGGTCATCTCAGAAAGGGAGGCGTGCCGAGGACTTTGATAGCAATTTTAATAGGGAAATCCGCCGCGCGTGACCGTAATTTTATTATTTTTAGAATCCTTAGGGCCTGTAGGTTGAGTTACTGCCATAAATAGACCATCGCAGAACGCTCCGGAGGGCCCCTTTAAGAGGATATAGCAGTAGAATTTCATCTCCGATAGGAACTTTTTCAAAATCCAGATGGCACTAAGGGTGAAGCCTTTTCACTCAACTGCTCACGCGATATGGTCCTATTTCCAAATAAAAATAAAGAAAAAGCTCGACTTTTTGTACCAGTTATCAGCGGACGGCTTGAAACTGAAAGCCCCCCACTTAAAGGAACCATGAAATGACCTTTTTACTTTTGCCAGATAACTTTTACATTAAAGTGTCAATATTCACTGAATGCCGAACAGGCATCCGTTTTCGTCTCGGTTTATTAACTTCTACACAAAAATTAATGAAATATCAACGTTTTCTTTCTCTTCAACTGACCGCAAAACAAGCTGCGGCGTAATTTAGACGGTCGTGACGTACCCTGTTTCCGGAACCGGAAGTCCTCTCGGCAGTAGGAGAATGGCAGTTAGCGGCGGCGAGTTGGCGGTGCGCCGGTAGGTTTTACAGCGCTGATGGCGCCGATGTCACCGATGTATTCTCTGAATCGGTGCCTCTCATCGCCGCGATAGCCATGGACACATCGCAGCTGAGCGAGATTCAATTAGATATGTTGCGCTACAGCGACAGTATGGGACTAGTCCCATACGCCGGTATGCCTGTTGGGAAGTGCGGCGAGTCTTCCGGTGAAGACTCCAGAAGTCAACCCAACTGTCACTGTTGGTAAGAGGCGGCTTGTGTCAGTCGTTTGCAAAGCGACGTAGATAGAGGCAAATGGCCGCGGCGTTTTTCGCGGCCTCAGAGATGCAGGAGCGAGCCGACGTTAAAAAAAAGATACGTTTGAACTACGAGAGTGTCAGCAAGAGGCACGTAAATCCCTGCTCAAACTCGTTGCGGACGCGCGCGTTTGATGGAAGTGCTGTATTCGAGCTGTTGGTAAGCGCTTCGGGACCGATCTTTTACGATTGCAACTCGATACTGACGCGACACTCGGCAAAGGAAGGTGGTTTGACCGGCATCGCACGTAGCTCCCACGAACTGTTATAGCTCGACAGTGACGTGCAGTTTGTCAGAGTAAAAATGGCATACTAATAACAAAGTTTACATACCGTGTTACGAAGGTAATCCATACAGCGTTTATTTGAGCTCTATATCACACAGAACAAGAATATAGAATCGATGAAGGTCCCTTTTCGACGACAGTGTTCGTCAACACTGGCTCTGAAAACAAGGGGAAGAGATTGACCTCACCCCTTAATCTAAAATTGAGGTCAGCGATCAAAATACGGGAAGGGTCCATAAAAGTCGCGCGGGCATATTCCATGCAGTACGCCAGCCGGTCGTGGGCAGACGGCCGTGGCCAACTACTGTTGAAAGCAACGCTGCGCCAAAGTCGGAATGCCTGCTAGGCCTATCTGCCGAGCTCGCCTGGTCGCGGGTCGGTGAATTCGTGGCCGTTCTGGCTTTTCTCGGGTGTTTGCGGATCCAGCGTTCTTGTTCGTCGTGGTCTGTTTCAAGTACTTTTTTCTTGCTGCTTGAAGTCGGGACGCCCGACAAGAACACGTAGAAAAATAACCGTTCCTTGATCGTCTTGGCCAAGTAAAGGTGTATCCACACGACGGACCGGGCCACGGACCGATTGATCACGTGATGCGCGGCCCGCGGGCCGCCCGGCTGCAATGAGCATCCAGACGGCGGACCAAAAGAGCAGACGACAGAGGGAACGGGCCGGTCTAACCTTCCACCTCACAGCTCCGCCAAACGCATGCAGCGAGCTGCTTTGAGGCTATTTGTAAGGAGCCAAGATGGAGGTTGAACGAAATAGACGCTTGGCCGCGGTGGCCCTGGCGCTGACTATTGAGAACGAGGAGGACTTAAGTGAAGCGAAAAAGGCATGGGGACATCTTTAGATGATTACTTAAGTAGTCGTTTCGACTATTGTCCCACAGAACGGAGAATTGCTCCACGAGCGCGATGAAGTAAAAAGTTGCATCGTCGCACAACAAAAGGTTAGTCTTCTTCGTCTTCAACAGTTGGCGCCAAAAGAAAACGACTTTGGATTTGGAATCCAATCCACACAACAAAAGACAGCTTGTTGCCAAACTTAGCGCTTCAAGTATACTAAAAACGCCGCGGTCCGCCGCCAATGTCCGGGCGAGAAAAGTCGCTTGGCATTTCTCAGAAGCGCGGGCCGCGGACCACCGGCGGACCTCGAAACCCGGTGACGTAAGATCACGTGATGCGCGGCCCGCGGACCAAAACAGCAATTTGGTCCGTCGTGTGGATACACCTTAAAGGGGTTGTCCGGTCGAAACCGGAAGTACTTAAGTTCTTGCGCTCGTTACGTCGAGGGAGCCTTCATATAGACAAACGTCATTTTTATTTTGATATATGATCTCCCGTTATTAATTAAACCTTTCATGATCCTGTGTAGGAAACTGCACCCCGAATTTCGCCAGTGTCAATGCCTGACATCCGTAGGTGCTGCGTGACGTCACAAAACGCAAAGGTTTGTCGGATAGTCGGGATAGCTAGCGTTGGTCGATGGATGTCTTGTATTTTGTTTCGAATTATATAGTCTCCTAGGCAGTACACCACTGAAATACGGTTCTTTTAATGCAGTTCCCAAGCACGTGCAAAAAAAGGCACGCCTTTTAGCAGGATATTACTTGCAGACAGCCATAAGCTTCGGGCAAACGTATGCCGTTTCGCGCAAATACAACTGCGACGGACGCCGATCGAATTAGCCCCTAGTTCGATGGGTGTCCGTCGCAGTTGTGTTTGCGCGAAACGGCATACGTTTGCCCGAAGCTTATGGCTGTCTGCGAGTAATATCCTGCTAAAAGGCGTGCCTTTTTTTGCACGTGCTTGGGAACTGCATTAAAAGAACCGTATTTGCAAAACAAAGGATGCAGTTTTCGCCTCTGAAGCGGCACTTAGGTACACGAAGCGGCATCTGGGTACACATTTCGGCGGATCCACTGGATCGATGATGAGGCTGCGGGTCATTCCCTCAGAGGCGACGTCCGCCGGTCGAAGGCAAACGGCGAACCGTTCAAACGCATGTCGTCACTTGACTTGGACGAGTTTGGTGAATCGTAGCTACGCTCCATGTTCACACGCGGGTCAA